ATGATCGGAAATGATTACTAATGTAACATAATTACTGACTTAATACCGTGTCAATCATTTCCTAACACAGACACAAACTTATATTATAGACACAGAACTGCTACGTAATGTATTTCAGGAAAGTCAGACATCGATATTGACCGATTTGAACTGAATGATTCAATTTCACGGTATATTTTCACGAATGTTTATACACGTCACTTCACAAATTATACGATACAATATCATATTGTTTTATCCGCAAAACTAAATAAATCTCTTCGAGAAAAAGCGGAATATTGTAGTTCTCTATCATCTGCATGATGCGAATACGTGTGCGACAGTATAAAAGTATGCTTTTGAAATACATAATGCGAAATATCACGTTTGCCTAGCTCGCTTTTCCTTTCTGTCTATCTCGCTCTCCCATCCTCTCTCTCTCTCTCTCCTCTCTCTCTCTCTCTCTCTCTCTCTCTCTCTCTCTCTCTCACATTCATTCTCTTATTCTCTATTAGATGTATATACTTAAAGCGCACCTTAAGCGATCTATATCTTGTGACAAAATTCAGGACGAAATTCTTCTTCTTTGTCGTGCAATATATATATATGGAAAATATGTCGGAGTAAAAATATACATACATCGGAATATATACGCTACGTAAATTGTAAATACGTATTGAAACATCGTGCCCACATTTTTTTCACGTGTTGCAAACAAATACAAGATCGCCTAAAGTGTGCTTATATATAATCGTATATATCGATAAAGATTCCATTTATATATACCTATACATAATCGTATGTATATATATATACCTCTCTTTATAACATGTAATATTGTACATCATACGCATTACGATATATACGGGTATCTACAGATATTATACAAAAAAACGCGGGGCGTTTTTTCCGCTCTCAAATGAATTAACTAGTATTTATCGACGATATTCAGCTTATGCGATGCACACGCGCGTATCGTATACCTCCTGTGAATCCACGGCCGTGTCGTCCGTGTGTGCACGTGTGGAAAACGGGCACTGGGGATGCGTAAAATGCGTAGACTATGCGGCCACGCGGGTGCTCGAAATATACTATAATATACATATATATTTATACGTGCCCTCTCTCGCACGCGACGCGCGTACGTTCATTAATTTATATTTATCTTCGCGTATAGTATCACAAGTTTTGCTCATCCGACACCGCTCCCACTTTTTAGCTGACACTGCTCTTCGAGGCTTACGCCGCTCCTTTGCCGCAACAAAACGCACCCTTCCTCAACGGGGTGCATTCGCTTTTAATATTAATCGGAGGATCTTCAAGTACCGATCGGCTCATCGCCGCGAGGCTCGTAATCGTAATAAGTCTCATGGTGAATTGCTCATCGCGATTTTAGATTGATTGCCCTCAAGCGGTTCCCTTAATATTATCAGATACGAAATATGCGAGTGTTGGGTGAAAAAAAAAATCTTTTCATATTGAAGTCAAGTGTTCGTGGGAACAGAACTATTAATTATACGTGATATTATTATTTTATTGTTCACTTATATCGAGTATGCCATCTAACTTGACCATTTGACATATGTATCGTTTAAGAATATAAAAGACTTTTAAGATCCATTTTTTTATCGTAATACGACTAAATTATGATTTATGCAACTGTATATAAAATATATAATTTTGTATTCTGAACTAAAGCACAAAAAAATATTTTAAAAGATTAAATTAGATTATCAAGATGCATGCGCTGTATATTAATTGTAATATTTGTCTGTTTAATAACATTAAGTAACATTAAGATATTAATAAAATAAAAATTAATACAAACAATATGCATAATGTTGAAAGAAGAAATTGATCATTACTGTCACGATTGAAAAAAAGAATATAAGACAGATCTATTAGATTGGTAATTGCTAACATCGACATGAGATTTTCATGAAAAATAAATCAGACTTATATATATATATATATATATATATATATATATATATATAGATTCTTGAAGAAAGAAATTTTTTAATTTTTCTAATAATAATATTTTTGTTATATCTCGCGATAAAAATTTGATATTATCAATAATATACATGTGTTATATATAACATACAAATAAATGTAAGAATAATTATGAAGCAAAAAGTACAAAAAAGTCGAAACCACTGATTTATTAAAATATTATTATACGTCAGTGTAAATCGTAATAATTTGAAGAAACCGTCGCTATAATACGTATATTAGTATGTAATATTTTCATTTCAAGATCGATATTATATGACGTGATGGTTTTGTTCAACAAATTTGTAAGACAATTAAGATATTTTAGTCAATGGATAATTTTGAATAATTATTAATCTATATATGCATTTAATAAAGAAAAGAAGACGGCAAATAGAATAACAAAAAGTCAATTACATATAATCTGTCTGCATACTCTAATTGCCAAAGAAAATAAATCATTTTTAGATTACATAAAGCCCTTATTAACTTTTAGTTAAAAAGTATTTATATGAAATCTACTAGATATCACGAACAATAAAAAAGGGTACTGATTTCATAACTTTGTTATTTTACATGTCAAAGACTTATCTATCAAATTTGTTATTTATATATTATTTATATATTTATTTTTATATATTGTTTATAGCAAAAAACCCGAAATTGGCATGATTGGCAGTTTGAATTACTGATTGTATTTAGAAGAAACTCAATGTGAGCGAAAAAAATGCTTTTTTTAGCCATTTTAATCCACACGATAAAATGCTAATCTTTACACAATATTGTAAATTACTAATTATCACATGTTATATGTCATTTAAATATTTGTGTTTTATTTTACCTTACTTTTTTATGTTTGTGTTTTCTATTTTTTTTATTTTTCGTATATCTCGCTTTTTTTATATATGAGACGTAATCATTAATTTGATACAAATAACTCATTGTCTGTATTATATTAAATATACATATAAGATTTGCTAAACAATGAATTCATCAGTAATTGTAAAAATCATAAAATGATACAGAATTTGTCGATTCACTTTAATACTCTACCTGCATATTAATGTGTTATTTCTTATCAGACACTCTGTAAAAATTATAACAAAATTATTTATGAAAAGTAAGAAGACGCGCATATATATATATATATATAGAAAAAGAAAGGATCCAAAACAATTATGAATATAATATAAGTTATCATAATATATCATAATATATAATATTATATATCATAATATATAATACAACAATTATATATTGTGATGACTTATATTCAAATAATATGGAACAACCATATGAGGCCGAAGAAAGTTGCACCATAAATTCGATATTTTCTTAAATGCAATCTTATAAATAATTTTTTTATTTCTTTTTTTTGTGTGCTTCTTGCAGTTTTGTATGATTTTTAATTTTTTTGTTGAACAAGACCAATCACCAATTTGATTCAAAGACGATCGTCCGTATTAATTTTCAATAATTTTCAAGCGTGTGCCGAATTATATAATCTCAGTGTTATGATGTGCAAGAAATAGATCGTACCTAGATGCACTATGGCTATTGCGATAAAAATATGTCGATGTCATTCGAACATATCATGAAAAAAATTCATATGATATAGCGAAATCGCACGATTATATCGAACTGTGCGGTTACGATAAACATAGAAGCACGGAATGCAGGATGATTCAGTGTCCTCGATCATTCAAACGTTTCTCACGTATCTTTTTTCTCGATAAATTCAATAAGCGGATTGTGACGAAATAACGGTCACATCCCGAGACATTTGGACAAAAAAATAAAGAAAAAAAATATGTTATACTTTCTTACGAAACATTATTGCAAAATGCTTTAGCAAATGGAACAAAATTCTACGTTAAAAGTTTATAATTTTAACGTGCTTCGTACGACTTTTTAAATATTCTCGGTATTGTATTTGTATTGTATCCGAAAAATTATGAATAAAATTATCTCACAAATTAAGGATGCTCCATCTAAGCACTTCAATTTCCTCTATCACGATTGTTTGCAATTATACTTGAAAAATGCTTGCGAATTCATTGTCAATTTAAATGACAACATACAGTAACGGACATAAGTTTAAGACGAGTAATTGTAATAGATCGTACACGCATGTAAATATTATTTCCTTATTTGCTTTCTTTTTTTCTCAACATGATATACATGTATATGTGACCTCCCTAAAGTTCTGTTAAGAGCGAGAACATTGTTTCTGTTTTTACTTGGACTCTTGTGAACGATATTATAACTCTTTTATAACCAAATATTTCAAAAGTAATTCTTTCGAAAATGCGATAAACAATCAATTTTAAAGTATAAATCTTACTTTATGCGTAACTTTAGAATCAATATAAATATAGAAAAATAGAAACTTATATAAATAGATATATAAATTTCCTTTCGCAAATATATATAAATATATTTATATAAAATATTATTGAATATTTATATGAAATGAATAATTTTTATATAAAGATATATATTTGTCAATTATTGTGCAAGAGAATAATTCTACCTTTTATGACAGAGAAATTGATTTCATTTCTTTTTACATCTTAAACTTTTGTTACCGCTACTGTAATTCAAAAATGTGAATTCATTCCTGGATTATAATTAACAAAATAAAATATATGTACGATGTAATCTCCAATCTGTAAGAAAAAGAATATAATAAAATATAAAATAAAATAAACTAAATATAAAGACATTTGATAAAGAAAATAATAATTTAGAAAATTTTCTAAGATTCTGATAAACACAATTTGCATAATGTCAAAGTAAATAGTACGTAATTATATTACGTATATAACAGTAATATATATATCAATTAATAATAACAATTTCGAGAATAATATTCGCGTTCACCCAACACCGCTCAAAATATCGATACAAAGAAATTGAGAAATCCTCGCAGCGATGAACTGTAATTTTCAACGAAACGAAATTGACCCGAGGCCTACCTCCCTAGCGTCTACCGTCTGTAGACAACATTCTCCTCTTCTTCATCCTCGTTCTCATCATCGTACTCGTCATCGTCTTCGGGTGGCCAGCAAACGACGGCGTCGACGACGTCATCGTCATTGTTGTCGGGACGACGTGCGCGTCGTCGTGGCTGCGCTCGCGGTGATGACGAGAAGGTCGATGAGGTTGCGGGCGACGTCGGCGCCGCGTTCGTCGCGGTCACCGTGATCGCGGGCAGATCTGGCATCGGGGTTGGTATCGGTGCGGCGGCGGTCGCGACGTAGGCCGCGGCGGCAGCGACTCAGGCCAAAGCGTAAGGGTGGGTAGCGTGATGTCACAAGCCCGGCGCCGCGGTGGCGACAGCGGGCGGCGGTGGAGCGCTCGTAGTGGCCACGCTCGTCGCGTGATGATAAAGCGGGCTCTGATAGTACTCCTGATGATGATGATTCGTCATGTGCATTGGCCCGGCAGCGTTCGTACCGGCGTGCATGCCGTTATGATGATGATGATGGCTCGGCGGCGCCGAGTGCGCGTGCGAATGATGCGGCGAGCCGAAGTTGGCGTAGCTCTGGTGCAACTGCTCGTACATCTTCATCTCGGGCGGCTTGGTATCCTGGGCACCAGGGGAAGTTCCGGCCGTGTCGCGCGGCAATAACCTGTTGATACTGAACGGATGATTGGCCGCCGTTCCGTAAAGCGGCTCCTGCTTCAAACTGCCTGTCATACCGTGGTGCAGACTCGCGGTGTCGGACAACAATTGTGGATGGATGCCGCGGCTGACCATCGCGGTGAGCTCGTCGTGCGCGGCGCTGAGATCAGGCCCGAGAAGACCGCCAATATCCGTAGTGTCGCTTTTCAAAGTGGTGTGATGCTGATGCAAACTCGTGTGATGATGATGATGCGAAGATACCAACGAGTGCAAGTCCTTATCGTCCTGCTGCTGAGGGCCACCGTGATGAATAGACGAACCGGTCTTCTTGGAACCAGGCGCGCCTTCGTGAGTAGGTGGACTATGCTGACGGGCAATGGTCGCACCGGACGCCACTGCCACCGCAGCCGCTGTTGCCTGATGCTGCTGATGCTGTTGGTGTTTGTTACTCTGCCTGGTCAGCTCCTTCTTCTCATCTTTAAATCTCTTCTGACGTCGTAAATAACAGCCATTCTCGAACATGTTGCCGCTGTCGGGATGTAGCGTCCAGAATGACCCCTTGCCGGGTTTATCCGGTGTACGCGGTACCTTGACAAAACAGTCGTTAAAACTCAGGGAGTGCCTAATAGAATTTTGCCAACGTTGTTGATTCTGTCTATAGAATGGAAACAGATCCATGATAAATTGATAGATCTCCGAAAGGGTCAACATTTTGTGAGGTGCGTTTTGTATCGCCATGGTGATCAGGCTGATGTAAGAGTACGGAGGCTTCGCGTGAGTGTAACTACGTCTGTAAGACTTGTCGCTACGGGCACGCTGAAGGTCTGAGTTCAACGAGTCTGGTTCTGTCAGAGCGAGAGGATCTCGGCTAACGCCGGTACCTCCACCGGGAGTCAGAGGGCCGTATCCGACGGCGCTCATACAGGCGCTGCTAGCACTCATGGAGGCGCCGTTGTAACCGCTCATACCGCCGCCTCCCATTGACGCCATTCCCATCGCCGAACTCATGGTGCTCATGTTAAAGCCGCCGGTGCCCTGAGGACTGCAACTGGGTCCGACTCCGACTCCCATCGACATGCCCATCGGCACGCAGCTCATCGAGCTGTACGTGGGCGCCATGCTGCCCATACTGGACATCGCGGCGCTGGTCATGGCACCCGCATCGGTGTATAGCTTTTGCGACTGAAGCATGGTCATAGAGCTCACCGGTGCCGGGGTGGCCTGCTGTCGCGTCGTCGTTGTCAAACGGGAATCATGAAATCCGCGGTACCACGGCTGCTGGCAGTCGGGTATTCCTTTAATTTTTCCACCAGGATAATCCGAAATCGGTCCGCGCGTCCAGCTCGTTATAACTAAAAAGTTCTCTCTACTTAGTTTTCTATTACTAACTGTCGAGTGTCAACTCACTCAAGAGATGATCCTCGTAGAGTCGTACGCACGGAAGACGCGCGGGAAGGCTCGGCGACTATCTGAGAATCTGGCTCTCGCACTTAAATTCACCAGAAAAACTTCACCAAATATTCTTCCTCGGAGCAGCAATGCACTGAACGGCACTTTGCGTCGATGGAACTTTCTTCACAACCTTCTTCACTCTCTAAGAAGGAGAACTACTAAAACGCTACTCCTCGCATGAGAAGAAAGTTACGAGCGGTACCTTTACGGGTTTCTCGGGGACGGCGCGCACTACGTCAGCGGAGCGAAGTAGACGAGGGGCAACTGAGATGAACTTTGTTGAATTTCTCGTTCCTCTTCTTCCCAGAATACAATGCACAGTCCGTTTGTTCGCGGGAAGATGCGCACTCGATGCACGAAGCGGACGGGAGCGGACGCGAACGCGAGAGTAAAGTACCCCCCGCGGCAGAGATAGAGGTAATTGTTACCTCAACACCATGGAGGGCACGACGAGCGCAAGGCTGACGACAGGGAAAGAGCCCAGGCTCTCGCTCGCGTGTTGTACGACGTGGACGAGTGCGCGAAACAACACCAACCACTATACGGTGTGACGGCCGCTCGTCGGTCGCGCGCGCGGTCGCTTATTTGATCGAGCGGGGCCGCTGTTTGAGCCGCCTCACCACCTCTCACCACACACTCCGCCTCGCGTACCGACGAGAGTCTCTCTCTCCTCTCTCTGTGTGCCGTGTTGTGGATGGAGGCCGGTTAGCGAGTGTACTCCGCTACTCTTGAGTCGGCGGCTCTTGTTCAAATATGCCCCACCATGGAGCCGCGAGAGCCGCGCCCGGTGTTGCCGTGGCGGCCAATAGCGGATCGGGGTATACCTCCGCTCGTGTCTCGCTCGACCAATCTGACGATGAGTCGACGTGGCTGGCAGTCCCCTCGGTCGCCGTATGCATCGTACGTCGTCGGATCGTGCGTGGCGCGCCACAGCCTTTTCCCCTCCGTCGCCGTACAGGACGGCGGAGCGACGCGTGATACGCGCATGTACCGTGGCCCGCGCGCGAGACCGAGCCCGTGAAACGGAACTGGCTTGCGCAATTCCACGCGAGACGCCCGGCTCCACGACGTTACCGCCGTGCCGTACCGTGCCGTGCCGTGCCGTGCCGAACCGAGAGCTGGGCCGCGACAGCCGCGCCGCGGCACGGCTCGGCCGCTCCTTCCTCATCATCATGTCATGTCGGCATCTGCCACGCGTTTGACAACCAGCATCTTCGTTCGTGCGTGCACATGTGACGCGCTCTTGATGCATCTCTTTATTCGCGAACAATCTCGCGGAATGAATTTCTGGCGACGCCTGTCTCTGCTGCTACGACCGATCGATCGTTTACGCTATTGTCTTTTCCCTTTCGACTTCTTCCGAGAGAAAGAGAATTATCTTTTTCATGATATAATGCATGAATCGGAATCGTAGCGTTTCGATTGACGCTTCGATATCGTTTCGTTAATTTACAAGTGACTCTAACGTGAACGTTGTGAACTATGGCGATTGTGTCTGACGGAGAACGCGAAGAAGAACGTCAGTTGATCCACGTGGATCGCTACGGAATCAACAGGATTGAAAATTTGGAATTCAACGTGGAAACATAAGTATGATATCATTTGCATATTGTAATTGTATGTTATTATTTTAAATCTGTTATCTTATTCTTATTCTTATTAATTCATTATTATATTATATTATATTATATTATATTTTTATTTAAAAGATTTTTATTTAATTTTTATTTAAAAGAAAGTCATATATTCTTCTATTTTTATTTAACAACTAAGCGGTAGTTATTATGTAGGAACCAGTTTCGTGTATTACAATGTCATTCATAATTTGTATAGAATCAGCTAAATCACTTTATCCGATATTTTATGTTGTATGTATAAAAGCCATATATGAAACAAAAGTATCTGAAGAGGCTGATAGTAATCAGCAAACGATTACTTTTGCGCACTTATAGAGCACATTGATAATACCTTGATAGATGTTTTCATTGAATATAGGCGCCGATAGTAGTTAAATATATATAACTACTATATAATACTACTAAGGTATTATAAACATATATAAGTACAAGAGATCGCCTAATAAGTGCTTTTAGAAAAAGCTAAAATAATATTTGATCTTTCTTAGTAACAGTAATCAGATCTTTCTTACATCAATATTTGTAGACATTGAAGATAGCGCATCTTTTGCGTTTAGTGATTATTACGCATTTATTAGATTAGAAAACAATATATACAGATTTTTTATTCGCGTGCGAAGTTTAAATTAAAACTCTAACGCATCGTTTTATCCTTATCTTGTCTAATAATAAATAAATTTTATATATCGTTCATACAGATTATGTATGACTTATAATAGCGATTTTCTTTTCTTTTCAGAAGCAAGAACTTAAATGCATTACGTCTTATGAATTGCTTTGCTCATTCCTTATAAGTTCGTTCATTCATTTATGTCGTTTGTCAAATGTCTCTTTTGCATATAAAAAGCCTCCTTGTCGTCTAATATGATGTAAATTTGAAGTTTTCTAATTTCATTTATTTTCAAGTAGATGCCATTCAATTCCTCACTCTTCTTTAAGAGACATAACGCTTCGCTATAGATAAAAATATATAGTGTCCAGATATTTTGTAGGAAACGAGAAACAAACACTATTTATAAGCTGCACCTATATCTGCCCACATTTTCTACCTACGATCTCATTAGAATTTTCATTGACGTCATCGACATTTTTTCATACATTCGTGCGAGCACGGTTTTCTTCATGTAAATGTTATCACATATGATTTATTATCTAGAGATAAAGGAAATATGCCGTAGAGATAATTAATTAATTTAGTACCTTTTTCTTTGGTTTTCATCAAAAATTTTCACCTTTCTCACGTGAACAAAGAATATATCGTGGATAATTTTGACCTTTAGATGGACTTTTGTATCACAACTTCGGCACATCTGCTTAGTTGACTATATAACCTAGATAAGATATACCTTCGACAGAAATATCAATATATCTAAAACAAACAGCTAGAGCTTGTAACATTGACATATTGATAGAAGATCAAATATATTCATCGAGATCATAATGATTATGGAAGAAAAATGAATATTTATTATAATTCAAATCAATATAAATATAAAATTCTTTTGCATTTTTACGCAATCAAACATACACACATATTTTAGATATAAAAATTTTATAAAATTATCTAAAATCTTTTGTTAATTTATGTACAACTATGAATAATAATAAAAATTTTAAACTACAAACTGAAGAGTTATTCTAATTCTCTAATAAAAAATTTCATAACATAAACATAAAAATAATACAAAATAAACATTTAATTTAAATTTAACAAAAAAGTTAGATAAAAAACTATAAAATTAGATTCTATTGTTATTTTCTTAAGCGACTCCTTTGACGATCAGTATTATTGTACAATATTTGATAATGTAATAGTATTAATTGCCTAAAAGTTATATTGAGGGTTTGTGCAATATAACTGTAACATTGTCAATCAAAAATTATTTAAAATATATTGCGCCATTTAAAAATATTGGTCCATCTAAAGATGCTATTATACAATATTGTTTAAATTCAACAATTTATCAAATATTAAATTATTTAAATGTAGAAAGTTTTGATAATCGTTTGGCTTACTAAATCTTAGTTTATTTGACAAATTTTTATAAATATATTCTTTCTTTCCTATATATCATTTTTTTATCAGCTTTCTCTGCTTTTTTTACAAAAAACTGAAACTATGATCACACATGTCGCTTGTATATCCCTTTTAAAATTAATCAATTATTGTATAATTTGATTGAGAAAATTGAATTGTCTACAAAGAGTGTCAATAATATGTATAATATTATTGATTATCTAAAGATCTTTTTATGCTAAAGTCATGGTTTTTTCGCAGCACCTAAAAAACAGATGAAAAAAATGTTTCTTGTTACAAAAATAATTACAAACTTCGAAATTAAATGCAATCAATAATAATGCTTTATTTATTTGCTTATATGTTCATTTTAACATTTATTCTTAAATAAAACGAATGAAAGTTCTATTATAAATTTTACTATTGCCAAATTGAAAAAAATTTTCATTTTTTAATATATTTTATAATTTTTATTTCGTAATTTATATTGTAATTTTTCAATATTTTCTTCTTTTATTATTTTTTATAATGACTTTAATGTTAGTTAGCGACATTAAAATCCGGACTAAAATAACCTACAGTATTTATTAAAAAATATAGAACATATTTTACTTTTTTCTTATCGCTTCTCAATAAACATACCTATAGTCAATTCATTTTTTCTTCTCCATTGAACAAAAAGTCACTTTTCCTACAAAGTTTTATGAGAGAAATTACTATTTTAAATTTGTATCCGTTAATGTCGTTTTTAATAAAAGTGAAACTCAGAAAAGAATTTTCAATTTTTCAATTTTACTACAATTTAATCCTTGTAAAAGAACACAAAAACGATGACGATGAACATTTATACGATACATTAAGGGCTGCTAAAAACTATTTATGACAACGAAATGAATAGCTGCGTCATTTTGCGGATCGATCCCGACGGCGTCCTCAGACATGGCGCCCATTAATCGTCGGGTAACCGTCAGCACACGACGATCACGCTAGATAGTGCATACGATTTTTTTTTATTGGTGTTCCTACGGTCACACAATTGTTGCAAGTAAAGTTGCAAGAAAGTATACAAAAAATAATTTCGTGTTGCGAAATTTCCGCTTATGGCATCATGTTATAAAAAAGAAATAAGAAAGAAAGCAATATAAAACCGTCTTCTTATTTATTTTCAAAAAGATTTTACTACATTAGAACATTAAAATATTTAAGAGACTAATTGTGCGCTCATAAATTTTGAGAAGTCTCATGGATCTGCAACTGAGATTTGAGGGTATGTTTTATTATCGTATACCTGGTCTAACATATATACCTGATTTTTTTGTGCACGTAATCCGTTATGAATCCGTTACATTGATGTTTCCGACAAAGAGTTTGCCGAAAATATTTTAGTCGAAACCAAGTGTGAACAGCAATAAGTATTTCACTAATGTATATTATAGAAATAGAGGATGTGAGGAAATTGTACCGTTGCAAAAAAACAAATCAATTATTTACCTAATCAGATATGTAATAAAAATTGGCATGTATAAAAAAATAATTCCTATATTGATTGAATAGGAATATTTAAAAGATATTTGAAAGATAATTTGTCGATGACACAAACACACAAAAGTTAGTATATGTATATATGTATATATATATATATGTATATATATATATATGTATATATAGATCAATATTTATATTAGTAAATATACTATTTGTCAAATATCATTCCAACAAGATATCAATGAAAGCATTGTTAGCGAAATTTTATTACGACATTTTAATCTTTAAATTCCTCATTATAAATCACACATTTTTTTCACATTAATACCTGATTCTTTTGAATTATTCTGTGTTCTACATCAAAAAGAAAAAGACCTATAATTTGATTTTACGTACATTTTATGATCTGGCAAATAGTATATCTTGTACGTATCAAAATTTGTTATCATCGCAGATCATAACAAGACAACAACATCCGTATTCAAAGTCAGGCATAAATATATTGTAAAGATTATTTAAGTCTCTGAACATGTATGCATTTTTTATGTATGTCTTTTTTC